ATATTTCCTTCAACATAATATGATTTCTCATGTTCATTAACTGTTAATACTGTTTATGGAATATTTTAGTGCACAACAATTTTATATTTAAAGTAGTCAGATTTATCCATATTTTTCTTTATTAGTGTGTGTCCCTTTTTTGGTGTCTTTTAAAAGAAATCCTTCCTACTTCATATTTTCCTCTATTTTCTTCTGCAAGTTTAAAATTTTGCTTTTTAATAGTTAAGTGAACCAATTCTTCTTAGAATTGATTTTTGTGTATGGTGTGGAGTCACTTTCCACACGGATAATCAATTGTCCCTGCACCACTTATCGTAGAGCTCATCTTTTCCCCAGTGATCTGCATTACTGTCTCTGTCATATATCTGCTTTCCATCCCAGCATGGGTCAGTTTCTGAGTTTTCTATGTTGTTTCCTTGATTTAGTTACAATCACTGGGACAATACTACAACGTCGTAGGTACAATAGGTACAAATATACTTGCTGTGAAAGAGAGGTCCCCTATCCTGCATTTTTTCCTTAAAAATTGTCATAATCCTTTGATCTCTTATATACATTTAACTTAAGTTCCATGAAAAATCATTTTGATCTAGATTGAAATTTTAGGTCAATTTTGGGGAGAATTGAGATTTTTATAGTACTGAGCTTCTTAATGCTCTGGGCCTAATAAAGTCTTTTATTTTCTGTATATGGGGAGGAGGAATGAAGATACTTAACTACTAAGTCATCTTAAACATATTTATTGGTATATTCATGTTTTATATTTTATGTGGAGTCATTTTTGTTGTTATTTTAAACATGTTTTTATTGATTTCAGAGAGAGGAAGGAAGAGGGAGAGAGAGAAACATCAATGATGAGAGTCACTGATCGGCTGCCTGCTGCACGCCCCCTGCTGGGGATCCAGCCCTCAAGCCCTGCATGTGCCCTGACCAGAAACAAACCTCCTGATTCATGGGTTGGCACCCAACCACTGAACCACGCCGGCCAGGCATGTTGGGTCAGTTTTAACACATCTTTCATTTCCTAGGAAATTGTTCATTTCACTTAAGTTTTCAAATTTATTGCCATAAAATTGCACCTACTAAATCCTTATTTTTAAATCTCTGAGTCCATGGTTACATAGTTTCCTTTTCCTTCATTATACTGTTTATTTGTATCTTAACTTTATTTTCTTAATCAATTTTGCCAGAGGTTTGTTTAATAGTTTATTCAAAGAGCCAACTTTGAACTTTGTTTATCTTCTCTATTTTAGCTTTATTTTATTAATTTCTATTTTATCTTTGTCACGTCCTTGCCATTTATTGATATAATTCATATTCCCTAATGTTCATCATTTTAAAGAGTACAATTCAGTGATTTTAGGTATATTCACAAAGGTGTGAAACTGTCACCACTATCTATTCCATAACATTTTTATGACCACCCTCCAAAAACACCCCATGCCCAGTCACTTCCCATTCCCTACTTCACCAGCCCCTAGCAACCACTAACTACTTTCTGTCTATCTAAATTTGACTATTCTGGACATTTAAAATAATTGGAATGAGCCCTGGCCAGTTTGTCTGAGTGGTTAGAGCGTCGGCCCATGGACTGAAGGGTCCCGGTGGGATTCTGGCCAAGGCACATACCTCGGTTGCAGGCTCGATCCCTGGACGTGTGGGAGGCAACAAACCCATGTGTCTCTCTCACATCGATGTTTCTCTCTCTCTGCCTTCCACTCTCTCTGAAAAAAGCAATGGAAAAGATATACTCAGGTGAGGATTAAAAATAATAATAAAATAAATGGAATGATAAAATATGTCACCTTTTGTGCCTGGCTTCTTTCACTTAACATAATGTTCTTAAGGTTCGTCAATGTTGTAGCATGTATCAGTAATTCATTCCTACTTATAGCTGAATAATATTCCGTTGTATGGATATATTACATTTTGTTTATCAACTCATGGACATTTGAGTTGTTTCCAGTTATTGGCTATTATAAATAATGCTGCTGTGAAAATTCATGTACAAGTGTTTGTATGAACAGATGTTTGCAAATCTCTTGAGTATGTACCTAGGAGTGGAATTTCTGGGTCATATGGTAACTCTATGTTTAACTTATTGAGAAACTGCCAAACTGTTTTCCAAAGCATCTGTACTATTTTACCAGAAATGCGCAAGGGTACTAATTTCTCGGCACCCTTCCTAGCACTTGCTATTGTGTTTAATTATAATATCCTAGTGGGTGTGAAGTGGTACCGTATTGCGGTTTTGATTTGCATACCCGTCATGTGCCTATTGGCCATTTTTATATCTTCTTTGAATAAGTTTCTATTCAAAACCTTTGCCCATAAAATTGGGTTGTCTTTTTATTATTGAGTTATAAGAGTTCTTTATATAACATAGTTACGAGTCCCTTATCAAACATATGATTTGCAGATATTTTCTCCCATTCTGTGAGTTGTCTTTTCACTTTCTGAATGGATGTCCTTTGAAGCACAAAATTTTTAAATTTTGATGAAGTCCAATTTTTTTAGTTTTTCTTTTGTTGCTGTGCTTTTGGTGTCATATCCAAGAAACCATTATCTAGCCCAAGCTCATTTATGCTTAAGTTTTCTTCTAAGACTTTTATAACTTTAGGTCTTACATTTAGGTCTTTGATCCATTGTGAGCTAATTTTTGTGTATGGTGTAAGGTAGAGGCCTCAGCAGCATTTGTTGACAAGACTATTCTTTCCTCCACTGCATTGTCTTGGCATCCTTGTTGATAATCAATTGACCATAAGGTCATTTCTGCACTGTTAGTTCTACTCCTTTGATTTAGTTGTCTATCTTAATGTGGATTTGTAGTGAGTTTTAAAATCAGGAAGTATGAATACTCCAGTTTTACTCTTTTCAAAACTGATTTCTGCCCTAGCTGGTTTTGCTCAGTGGCTCGTCCCGGCTGGGCTGCATTCGGGAGGTAACCAATTGATGTGTCTCTCTTACATTGATGTCTCTTTCTCCCTTCCAGTCTCTCTGAAAAACAATGGAAAAAATATCCTCGAGTGAGGATTACAAACAAACAAACATACAGTTGTCTCAGTTCTGGATCTCATGCATTTCAATGTGAATTCTATTTGTTTTAAAATATGGAATGCTTCATGAATTTGTGTGTCATCCTTGCACAGGGGACCACCTAATCTCTGTATCGTTCTAATTATATTATATGTGCTGCTGAAGTGAGCAGTCAATGTGAATTGTAGGATCACCTTGTCAATTTTTGCAATAACAGCAGCTGGAATTTTGATAGGGAATGTTGAATTTTTAGATCAAATTTGGGGAGTATTGCCATCGCACAATATTAAGTCTTTGAATCTACGCACAGGAGGTATCTTTCTATTTACTTAGGTCTTTAATTTCTTTCAGTGATGTTTTGTTAACATTCAGTGCTCGAATCTTACACTCCTTTTGCTAAATTTACTCTTAAGTATTTTTTGGGAGCATTGTAAATGGAACTGTTTTCTTGATATCATTTTTGGATTGTTCAATTAAAAATACAATAGATTTTTGCATATTAATCTTTATCCTGCAACCTTGCTGAACTCATTTATTAACTCTATTAGCCTCTAGAAAGTCGTAGATGGTTTCATGGGGAGTCAACTCAGTGACAGGTTACTGGTTAGGTCAGTGTTGTAGCATGCATCAGTACTTCATTCAATCCAGGACAACAGGGGGTGGTCATGGTGGCTGAGGCCAGCGGGACGGGACTCAATGCCAATCCCAGTACAGGTCTTAAGTCTTTGGCCCTCAACTGTCGCATGTGTAAAATGAGGATAGCACCACCTAGCTCATAAAGTTTAATGACTGATAGTTAAATGGGATGACAAAATTGCAAGACACAAAGTGGATGCATTAGCTTCATTCTGCCAATGAACAGACTGAGTTGGCACAAACTGAAATCCCGGGCAGCACGAGACGAGAGGGAGCCGTGCCTACGGCCCAGAACTGAACAACACGGGACAGGCACCAGGAGGCTTGCGGGAATGCAGCACCGAAACCAATCCTTTTGCACAGACCATTCCCGTCCCAAGACTAGCCGGTATTAAAGGTCTACCTTCTCCCTAGGCCGTGGCACAGCTGACTGCCCCTCCGCTACGGAGTCCAGCAAACGTTGCCCGAAGGCAGACACCGACCTACCACCCGCCCACCCGCAGCGCCTTCCCGACTCTCCGCCCGCTGGGGTGGGACCTAGTCCTAGGCAACGTTGCCTTCCGCCCCTAGCAACCGCTCACCTGCTTTTCTCTTCCTATAGGCCAGCACATTTCCTTTCTTTTTCTTATTGGTCCGCGTAACTACATCTCGACCAATCAGTAGCAGCCACGGGGATCCAACTCACCCCCCACACAATTTGGGGTGATCTTGGAGACGAATTTTTCCTTTTTTGAGTCCAGTTTCCCAGAAAGCATCATATTTGTCAAACTATTGTAACTCCCCTGGCATGAGTTTCTAACATTTTGCTTGTCTTAGGCTTGGCTATCCCTTGTCTACTCCCCACTCCAACCAAGTGTTACCGCCCGCAAACTGCTCCACCTTCCAGCGGCTTAGAGACCTGGAGTCCTCCGCTAGGTAGCGTCCACACAGCGGCGCGGACGATACCATTTGTGACTAATAAATAAGGGGACGCTAACCGCCACCCCGGTTGCCTTATCCCACTCCAGCCACCTCCTGCATCTCTTCCTCGACCCGTGGCCACGAATCCCAGATATGGTGGTGGGACGACTGCTCTGGATACCAAGAAAGACACGCGATGCGGACAAGAGAAGGGTGCACTTGGTACGGCCCACGCCGCGCCCCGCGCCCAGCGCCCCGCGCCCCGCGCTTCCGGAAGTGAGGTGTCTCACCCTCGAAGTTCCGGCTCGCAGGGGGTGGAGGAGTGTTGTTAACCGGGACGCCTCCGCAGTCGCGGGGTTTGAGCGGGCTCGCGGCGTTGGACTCCTGGTGAGTGGGCCAGGGTCGGGCCCGGGTTGTGGTTGGAGTCGGGACCTGGACCTTCCCCTTGAGGTCTCCGGGGCCGGCGCGCCCCTCAGCCCGCCTCCCGCTTTCGGTCTGTCAGCGGGCGGTAGACCTCAGGCACCAGCGCGGCCGCTCTGTGAGGCTGGGCCCTCCTGCGACGCTCGCAGCTTCTGGCGCTTACAGGTGCGCGATCGCGGGGCGACCCGGGTCCCCCTCAGTCCCGCCACGGCATCCTGTCGGCCGGCCGTTTCTCTGGTGCCCCGAGTTGACACTTCCCCGGGGTTGGGGGGCACCAGGGTTCCGGACTGACGGAGCCGGCCCGCTCCCGCGGGGCGCGTTGTGGGAGCTGCCAACCCCGGCAGAGCTGTCACAGGCCGGCTGCGCCCCCAGCGCCTTGGCTTCTCCCAGCCCGGGCCGCACGTTCCCGCTGCTGGAGATACATGTCTTTTGCATGCACCGCGTCATCTTCACTTGAGGGTCAGTGGTAGCAGTTCTCCCCTCTCCATCACTGCTGCCTTTCCTCATTCCTCCCTAGGGGCGGCAGCTTGGCCGGCAGAGAGGAAAGAGCCCTAGATTTGAAACAAGACTGACCCAGGCTCCAGGGCTTGCGTCAGTGGGATCACTTAACCACTTTGAGGCTCAGTTTTCTATTTGTGAAATGGGGGAGTATATGCTGTTCTTGATGTGAAGATTGTAAGGGTGAAATGAGTTTTTTCCTTCTGTTTACTGGCTCGGTGTTTCAGGCACCTAGCTAGGTTTGCACCGTATGGGCATCGCACCAGTTATTCTTTCCTTTCCCTTTCCCCATGCAGGTTTCCAGGCCAGGGCAATGTTCCGCACCGCAGTGATGATGGCGGCCAGCCTGGCGCTGACAGGAGCAGTGGTGGCTCACGCCTACTACCTCAAGCACCAGTTCTACCCCACTGTGGTGTACTTGACCAAGTCCAGCCCCAGCATGGCAGTGAGTTGAGGGCTTAGGGAGGGAGGAACTCCTGGCAGAGAAGGAGGAGGTTGCTTGAGAAAGGGGTGGGGCTAGAGGTCAGGTTAGAGAGAAGTGAGGTAGCCTTCAGCTGCCTAACTTTGGGCAAATTGTGATGGGGATGTGGGGGGGTTCCTGAATGATGAGTGCCATGCAAAGCTAAAACTGACCTCAAACCATAGCCTCTCTTTACTCCTAGGTCCTGTACATCCAGGCCTTCGTTCTTGTCTTCCTCTTGGGCAAGGTGATGGGCAAAGTGTTCTTTGGACAACTGAGGGCAGCAGAAATGGAGGTAAGATGTTTGTTGCCCCAAAGGTGAGGGCCAGGGAGCTGCGCAAGAAGAGTGTCTGAGTTCCACATCATGCCTTGCCCAACCTCCAGCACCTTCTGGAACGTTCCTGGTATGCAGTCACTGAGACTTGTCTGGCCTTCACTGTCTTTCGGGATGACTTCAGCCCCCGCTTTGTTGCGCTCTTCACTCTCCTTCTCTTCCTCAAGTGTTTTCACTGGCTGGCTGAGGACCGTGTGGATTTTGTGAGTTGGGTCAGGGGTTCTCTGAAGCAGACAGAAGCCAGAGAGTGGCTGGTGGGCAGACTTGTGGAGTGAGGGCTGGGTTGGGGATGTGGGGTGAGCCCCAGCCTTCCTGACAGGACCCCTCTCTGCTCTGCCTCAGATGGAACGCAGCCCCAATATCTCCTGGCTCTTTCACTGCCGCATTGTCTGTGAGTGAGACCCATGTGCGGGGAAAGGAGGGAGCCTGAGGGAGAAGAGGCACCATGGAGGATTGGAACGTGAAAATCACTAACCATGGACCTATACTCTAGAGCACAGGCTGCCCCCTCAGCCACAGCTGTACAGGAAAGATAATTTAGGAAGTTAATTTGCATCACCTCTGCCCTGTTCCACTCCAGAGCTTCTCAACTGCCTGGCCCCTTAGCTCTTTGCCTCCTCACCTGGAGCTTGGGCTGCCCCAGTGCCCCACTAGGCAGAATTGGAGCTCCCAGGGGGCTGGGTCAGTGGTATATGCCCATCTCACTAGAGGCTGGGACCATGGTGGGCTTGAGGGTGGGAGCTGTCTTAGAATAGGAAGTGGCTCGCAGATCCTGGGCTGACCCCTCCAACCCCCATTTGGGGGGTCTCCACAGCCCTTATGTTCCTCCTGGGTATCCTGGACTTCCTCTTCGTCAGCCATGCCTATCACAGCATCCTGACCCGTGGGGCCTCTGTGCAGCTGGTGTTTGGCTTTGAGGTAAAACTGGCTTGGGAGGTTGGGAGGACAAGCCTGAGGTGGCACTGCATGTGCCTTGAATAACCCAACAAACCCTTACTGAGCACCTGCTCTGGACAGCCCCATGTGGGCCACCAAGGAGCAGCCATCAGTCAGTCCCAGCCCTCTATGCACCTACTCCTAGGAGAGTGGGGAAGGCACAGAAAGAGGTGCCTGTGGAGGAGGAGTCCTGACCTAGTGCTCAGGGAAGGCTCCCTGGAAGTTGATGCCAGAGGAGCTTGCTGTTGATGGAGAGAACGAATTAGCTTGATGGACAACTAGGGAGGTGTGTCCCTGGCAGAGGAAGAATGTGTTCATTGACAGCAGCTCACTTTTGTGTGGTAGGCCCTGTGCTGAGCACTTGACCTGCATCTCTTAATCAGCAAAGCACCATTGTTATAAAGAACAGTTTATTCTGTCATTTTACAGACAAGGAAACTGTAGTTCAGAGAGATCTAGTGGGTTAACAAAAGTCACACCAGCTAGTGAGTAGAGGGGCTAGGAAGACCCCCTGCTGTGTCCAAGCCTGTGCTTGTACTATTGCACTCTGCTGTGCAGAGACCTGGGGTAGCAGTGTGTCTGGAGCAAGGCAGGGCTGCATGCTTATGCTTCCCCATCCCTCCCTCCAGTACGCCATCCTGATGACTATGGTGCTCACCATCTTCATCAAGTACGTGCTGCACTCCGTGGACCTCCAGAGCGAAAACCCTTGGGACAATAAGGCTGTGTACATGCTCTACACAGAACTGTTTACAGGTGAAAGGAGCTTGGGCCTCCCCTGACCTGGACTAGTGTCCCCGGCTCTGCCTCCCAGGCCCTGTGACCTGCTGCTCTCTGCACACCCTTTCCCCCCAGGGTTCATCAAGGTTCTGCTATACATGGCTTTCATGACCATTATGATCAAGGTGCATACCTTCCCTCTGTTTGCCATCCGGCCTATGTACCTGGCCATGAGGTGAGCCCAGCTGAGCCTTGTCCTGCCACGCCCCTGACCCCTATTTGACCCCTCCCCTCCCTCTCCCAACTTGCACTGAAATTATCCTTTCAGGCAGTTCAAGAAAGCTGTGACAGACGCCATCATGTCTCGCCGAGCTATCCGCAACATGAACACATTGTAAGTGGGCCCATCTTAGATGCTCTCCTAAGCTCTGCCCCAGCTCTGGTCCTCCAGCCTCCAGCTCTGGTCTTGACCATGTCGTTGGTCTGTCCTAACCAGGTACCCAGATGCCACCCCAGAGGAACTCCAGGCAATGGATAATGTATGTATCATTTGTCGAGAAGAGATGGTGACTGGTGCCAAGAGACTGCCCTGCAACCACATTTTCCATACCAGGTGGGAGGTCCCTGAGGAGCCTGTACATCAGGGGACAGACTCTGGGAGGCAGGTCCCTTGGCCCTGACCTGCTGATCATTGCCTGGTCTTGACCCCCAGCTGCCTGCGCTCCTGGTTCCAGCGGCAGCAGACCTGCCCTACCTGCCGTATGGATGTTCTTCGTGCATCACTGCCAACTCAGTCACCACCACCCCCTGAACCTGCGGATCAGGGGCCACCACCTGCCCCCCACCCCCCACCACTCCTGCCGCAGCCCCCCAACTGTGAGTGGCCCCTCATTTGGCCATCTAACATACTGTCAAGTACTTGCCCTGGGCTGGGTATAGAAAGTCAGAGTCCCTGCCCACTAGAAGCTCAGTCTGGGTGGGGTGGGGAGTCATGGGAAGAGACATAGATGGTTGCAGTCATGTGTAGTCAGTGCTGAGCTCAGAGATGACCTGTGGGAGCAGAGGACATAGCTCCCAACAACTGGCCCCTTGCCTATGATCTGGACCTTTTCTCACCACCTCCTGTCCTCTCTCTGCAGTCCCCCAGGGCCTCCTGCCTCCCTTTCCTCCAGGCATGTTCCCGCTGTGGCCCCCCATGGGCCCCTTTCCACCTGTCCCACCTCCCCCCAGCTCAGGAGAGGCTGCAGCCCCTCCATCCACCAGTGCAGGTGAGCCTTTTGGGTACTGCGACAACCAGGAGGGTGGGAGGAATGGAAGCAGAGGCCCCTCAACACTCACTGACTTCCTGTTCTTGCTTTTTAGCAGCCCTTTCTCGGCCCAGTGGAGCAGCCACAACCACAGCTGCTTCTGCTGCCTCTGCCACAGCACCTGGCTCTGCCCCCACCTCCGAGGCTGCCCCCACTCCAGGGTTCCCCTTCCCCCCTCCCTGGATGGGCATGCCACTGCCACCACCGTTTGGTAAGCAGGGCCTCTCTCCTGGTTGTTCTGGGGGATGGGAGGGTGTCAGGCCCAGGCAACCTAGGCTGAGCCTCTACTTTTCCAGCCTTCCCCCCAATGCCTGTGCCCCCTGCTGGCTTTGCTGGGCTGACCCCAGAGGAGCTTCGGGCTTTGGAAGGCCATGAGCGGCAGCACCTGGAGGCTCGGCTGCAAAGCCTGCGCAACATCCACACGCTGCTGGACGCTGCCATGCTGCAGATCAACCAGTACCTCACTGTGCTCGCCTCCTTGGGGTACGTCTGCACAGGGGACCAGGGTGGGCAATGGGCATAGAGCTGCCAGAAGGCTCCCAGCAGTGGTTCTTGGCCTTTTCCTCTTGTGCCATCCTGTGATACCTATTGATTCAGGCCACCTATCTGTAGGCTCACGCTGGGTCTTGGATTCTTGGGGCCTTTTTATCCCCCTACAGGCATCCCATCTGGACCTAAGGAGGAGTGAGGACTATTAGAGAGCTGATTTTGAATATCGTTACTTTATATTTTCCTAAAGTCAGAGTACTCAATTCTCAGTGTTTTACTTCATCACGTACACCCTCCTGACTGTGACTAGGAATCAGTGCCCCTTATCTGAGACAACAAATAAGTTAGTCACTTGGAGCCAGCCTGGCCCGAGTTCAAGTCCTGGTCCCATCATTCAGTGCTTTGTGACCACCATTACTTGAGTAGAAAGGGCACTCATTCCTAGTCACAGATCACATGTACAAAGTGCCTGGCACCCAACAATGACAGCACAGGCGTGGCGGGAGCTCAAGTCTGAGACCTGAGTGCTCTGTTTTATCCAGTGAGATGTCTTAGTAGATACCTTATAAGGTGCCTGGCACCCCAGGGTGGAGTCTGCAGTATAACAGTGAATAGGCCTACAGTCCCTGCCTGCAAGTGGCTTACAATCAATCTGTGGTGTAGAATCACAAGAATTTCTACATATTTACTCGTGTCTGGTGGTCAGTTGGCTGCAGAGGCACATCAGTGTTGGACTCTATTCTGCAAGGCTCACCAAGGACAGGAGAATCTGCCTAGTCATGCCAGGATGCCAAAGCTGGGCTCACCTCTTGTCCCTTCTCTTCCTAGGCCCCCCCGGCCTGCCACCTCAGTCAACCCCACTGAGGAGACTACCCCTACAGTTGTCGCCGCTGCCTCCTCCACCAGCACCCCCAGCTCTGACGCCACTACCCCATCCCCAGGAGCTTCCCCACCAGCCCCAGAACCTGAAAAGCCTCCAGGTAGTTGTGGTCAGCCTACGGGTGTGAGTGTGAGAGTGAGGCAGAGGACTTCTCTGTGTTCCACTTCTGATTTCTCTCTGTCCCCAGCGCCTGAGTCAGTGGGCACCGAGGAGCTGCCTGAGGATGGGGAGCCTGATGCAGCAGAGCTCCGCCGCCGCCGCCTGCAAAAGTTGGAGTCCCCTGTTGCCCACTGACACTGCCCTAGTCCTGGCCCCTGCTCCCACTCTCTTGAGCAGCCCTTGCTGGAACATGTCCTGCCACCAAGTGCCAGCTCCCTCTCTATCTGTACCAGGGAGTAGTAACCCCCCACATCTGGGACAGAGGAGGTGGCATCCCCTAGGCCAAGTGGAAAAAGGCCTAAGGCCCCAGTTGACTCTAGCCCTTACAGTCCTAGGCAGTCATGGGGATCTTGAGTCAGTTCCAGCCTTCTTCTCCAACTTTTCAGCCCTGTGTTCTGCTGGGGCCATGAAGGCAGAACAGCACAGCCTCTGAGAAGCTTCTATCCCTCCACTCCTTTCTTGGAGAAGGGGCAACCCTTCCGAGCCCCACTTGTGTGTGTGGAGTCACGCTGCAGTACCAAACAGTATTAGCTCCCATTCCTAAGTGTGGACTCAAGGGGCTGGGGACAGACCCGGAACTTGCTCCCTGGCCCACCAACCAAGACTGGTATCAATATCCTTTTCTTACCCTAAACTCCCCAGAAGCCCTTTGTGGTGGTGGCTGTGTCCCTTATGCCCTGTGACATTTCCAGTGTCTTACTGGCAACCACACAACTCAGGGAAAGGAGTGCCTGGGGGCGGAGAAGCAGGAGGGCAGCACTGAGGGACACTGCCCAAAAAGGCCTCTGTCTCCCTGTAGCGTGTCTAAAGCGACACTGTCCCTGGCCACACCCAGCAGCCACTGCCCAGCCTCACTCCAGGCTGAGGGCTTGTGTGTCTGCTTTGGAACCACTGCAAGCCCCAGAATCTACGGAAGGCCACTTCTCAACTTATAGAATTTTTCTCAAGTTTAGAAGAATTGGAATTACTTCCTTGCTATTTTCTTTGGCTTAAATTTGTCTTTGAATTTGAATGCTTGACCCCAGGAAAGAGAAGCAGGAATGCAAGTCTCCTAGTCTTTCCAGTTTAGAAAAGCCTGGGCCAGGTAGGGAACATAGGAGCCAAGGCCTGCCTGTCCCTGACTTTTCCCCCTTGGTTTTGTGTTACGTGAGTTGCTGGAGTTTCAGATGATTATTTAATTTGTAAATATTGTACAAATTTTAATAGCTTAAATTGTATATACAGCCAAATAAAAACTTGCATTAACAATTGGTAGAGCTGGTATCATAACATCAGTGAACTGGGATCCATTTTCTTGCTCAGGCTGTAGAAATGAGAATAGCCTGGAATCTCCAGGAGTGAAGGTTTATTTATACTAGCTAGCACTGTCCTTGGGCACATTGTTATTAAACTATTTGTAAGATATACCCATATTACATATGAAAAAACCGAGCCCCCCAAAAGATTAAGTACCGTGCTTTAGTCAGAGACCAAGTAGGGGAGCCAGGTTCTGAATCCCGCCTTATCCAGTCTGATGCTGGGGTGAGGTGGAAACTCAGGCCTTTGGCCCTTGTGACAGAACAAGTGTGAAGGTTCATTGGCTGGGGGTGGGATGAGATGGCAGGGGCAAAAGGCCAGCATTTTCCGGCCTGCAAACTCCCTATTCAGCCTTGATACCAGGTCAGCAAGCTGGGAAGCATGGCCCTGTGCTGGGCTGCTAGAAGCTCCCAAGCACCCCCTTGTGGGCAGACTGGCTACAGCTAATCACTTAGATTACTGGAGCTAGAAACCCAATCAGGCCCAACTCCAGTCTGGAATAGAGCAGAGGGGAGTGGGCCTTCACCTCACCGTGAGTAGAAAGAATGAGCTCATGGGCTGACATGGGCACACTGCCTCCACCAAGCCAGGTCTGGCCTAGAGCAAGGGCTTGGAAATGTTTGCAGCACTGAGTCTGAGGGCCAAGGAAGGAGGGTGCCCAATGGATCTGTCCTGTGCTCCCCTCCGCTAAACTTGGTTGGGCTACTGCCTCCACCAGAGAGGCACTCAACAACCTCCAGAATTTAAATAACTGATCCAATGAAGAAAAAGCAGGAACAGACCAAAATCAGGGGCAAGGGGTACAGCAACTAATGCCCCCTACTAGCTGGGCTGTTCCTAGTAGGTCTCCAATATAAGATGGCACTCCCCCAGTGCTGGCACCTGTGCAGATGCTCCTGTTTTCCCCTGTATGCACGCAAGGCATGCTTTGCCCTTTAGCCCTCACTCTACCCTGCCCAAGCCCTTAGCCCTGGTCTCCCTGCTCCTGAGATCCCCAGGGCTCCAGTCTGTGGGGGATGCTGTCATGCAGGCTGCTCAGCTGGGCCTCAGAAGCCCTTCTCTAGAAGCCAGGCTTTTAGTTGCTGATCAAAGTAGCCCTTGATCCGCAGGGTACCTGTCACCTCATTGACCTGGGTGATAGGTGTCTTCCCCAGCAGTGGGCTCAGAAAATCTTCCACATCCTTCTGCAGGGCCTGGGGGAAGATGACAAATCAGGCCTGGTCAGGAGACCATCACCTATAGAGGACTCCCATCCCTTCAGCCCTGAAAAGGTCATAATCAGACCCTGACAAACCCACACACTTACCCAAATGTCTCCCTCCACCTTCCGGATCACAGTCATCTGGCGGTTGCCATGTGTGATGTCCGTATAGACAGGGATGTTGTGCATCCGAGAGCGCCGCACAAAGTAAGGCAGGTTGGGTGGGGGGTCTGGGACAGGGAAGGATGGTAATAAGCCAAATCTTCCCAGGCTTCATCCCACCTCAGCCAAGGCCTTTCCCCTCACAGTCTGCAGAGGGGCAGTGCACACTGCGGCAATGCTACCCCCAGACTTCAGGTCAGGAGATCTGCTCTTTCCCTAAGTTTAGAGCCAGGACACTAGTACCCCAAGGCCCAGCACAGGGCTGACACCAGAAGGTGCACAAAAAGAAATCAAGTCAGGGCCATGCATCCCTGAATCTTTGGGTCCCCCTCTGGGACCAATCCTTGCCTTTCTCCTTTGGGTCAGGGAGACAAATGAATCTCTGGCACATAGGGATGGGGATTTAAAAGCACTGAACACCTACCACATGCTGGGTTCTGCACTAAGTGCTTTGTGCACCAAGCAGATTATTTCCATTTTGCCGAAACCGAGGTTGGGAGAGGCTGACTAACTCAAGATCACAATGGTAATGAACAATAGAGCCAAATTTGGACCCAGAACTGCCCAACTCCCAAGCTGTGTTCTCAATTGTGATATATGGACTACTGGGGGGGGAGGGGTCCAAGCTCTTGGGTCTTCTATCTATGGTTCATTTTTCCTGCATGGGAAGACCTTATCCCAACAGTGTGGATGAATGGTTACTTGTAAAACAGGGCTCCATTCCTGGGCCCTTCCTTGAACATGAGATAGATGCTAGTCCTGTGAGATCTCAACACAAGTCCTGAGGCCACTGAGTTCAAAGTCTCAGCTGGGGCAGGCCAACCACTAAGGAGGGGTACTTCCCTGCAGCCTTCAAGCCATCTCCATTATCCAGCTCACCTCTGGGGGGCTGCCAGCCACTAGGAGTAGGATAATGTTCATGCTTTGGGGGTTTGGGGATGCTGGTGGGGGGTAACAGGCGCTCCACAAACTGGTATTCATCCACAGACTCCACGAAGTTGGGGTAATTAGGAGGCCCCTGGGTCTGGCTCTGAGACAAAAACAAAAAGCAACCATCTCTCCATCAGCCCACTCACCACCTACCCCATAAAGACTAGACAGAACTTTAGTAAGCAGAGAAAGGAAACATTACAGGTGGAGAGAATGGCATAAATAAATGACTGGAGAAAGAAAAGCACCAGACTTCAGTTTGTCAGGGTGTAGGTGGGACTGGAAAAGTTCAAGCATTCTTAAGGGCCTGCCACTCCTACCACTCTGTCGCTCTTTTTTTTTTTTAATATATCTTTATTGATTTCAGAGAGAGGAAAGGAAAGAGAGAGACAGAAACATCAATGATGAGAGAGTCATTGATCGAGCCCGCAACCCGGGCATGTGCCCTGACCAGGAATCGAACCCCAATCGCCTAGATCCTAGGTCGAGGCTCAACCACTGAGCCAAGCCCAGCTGGGCTCTCAGTCGCTCTTGAGACTCAAATGACAAGCGTGTGCATATTTCTGAAAAGCCAATTAGCCTGGTCGTTATGGCTCAGTGGTTGAGCACCGACCTATGAACCAGGAGATCACAGTTCAATTCCCAGTCTGGGCACATGGCCCGGATTCGGGCTCAATCCCCAGTAAGAGGTGAGCAGGATGCAGCCATCAATGGCTCTCACCAACGATGTTTCTCTCTCTCCTCCCTTTCTTTCTCTGAAAATCGATAAAAACATTTTTTTAAAAGCCAATTACCTAGAAATCTGACCAATATGGTTTATTTCCGTATTGAAAGTTTCTTTTAAATATTCTACTGAAATATTCTAGTTCTCGGTTATGCACTTTCAGCAACCATGATAGTTTTCCACTCAAGTTCATCCGACGTTACCCTCCCTTACCTGACAGGTTTCAGCCTCATACAGATACCACCAGGCACTGTCCTAAGTGCTTTACAGGTATTGTTCTCACTTAATTCTTATAATTCGACAGGTTATATTACACACTTTTTTGAATCCGAGGAAGATTAAGACATTAAATAATCTACCTAAAGTCACACTCCACAGTTGGCCCTCCCATCCTCCAGCTTTAGGATCCTTTCTAGACACTTCTCCCAACAGATACCACGGAGTCCTGACAGGCCCCGGGGTTACAATGAGAACAAGGAAGCAGGATGAAGTGACCTGTATGTCAAGAGCTCTAGGTTCCCGTAAGTGTCGCCAAAGATAGGGTCGAGCCGTGGACGGGTTTTCCCTTCAATAAATTAGACAGCGTGTCGAGATGCAGTCCCTCCCAGTTCTGACTCACCGGGGTTGTCCTCCAATCAGGTTCCAACCCCCACACCTCCCAGCGCGCACCAGGTCCTGTCACCTTCCTCCTCAATCTTGTATCTCAGCTACAGATGGAAAAACTAAGGCCCCAAGTAGAAGCGCGATTTACAGGGTTACAAGGAATAACAGTGAACCTCATACCCAGCCCTCTGCCCCCCGCTCCAAGCTCAGTGCTCTCACCAGCCGCCGTAGCGCGCAGCCCGGCTGGACGCCGACTCTACAGCCCCGCAGCGCAGCCCGGAACACGGCCGCGGCCATCTTGACCCCCCGAACCTTAGCCTTCTGCGCGCGCAACCGGCCTAGTCCCGCGACTGCCTGCGCACGCCCCTGGGGCCGAAAGGACGCTAACGCGAAGCGTAAAGGGGCGGGGTTACGAGGCCGTGGGCGGTACGACTAGCAGAGACACTCGTCGCTCAGCAGTGACGTGAGACGCAGCAGGCGATTAGGACGTGTGCGCTCTCGTTCCTTCCTCTTTCTCGACTCCATCTTCGCGGTAGCGGTAGAGGCCGCAGTTCAGGTAGAGTTGGGCCCCGGCTGAATCAGGAAGGCTTCATAGCAGGTTGGCTGCGAGGTCAGAGGGCGCGGGAAAAATAAAGAGGGCCTGCTCTGTGCGTCGGGTTCTTGTCCCCACCCGATCTCCCTGGCAGCCCGGCCTTAATCCACGTGAGACCCCTGATCGTCCCCGACCCGCCACCGATTCCCCGACTCCCTCTCTCCCAGGATATTTCTTCTCTTACAAGCATTTCTTTTCCTCAGTCGCCAAGATGCAGCTTTTTGTCCGCGCCCAGGAGCTACACACCCTCGAGGTGACCGGCCGAGAGACTGTCGCCCAGATCAAGGTAAGGCTGCGTGGTGCTCCTGGGGCACCATTCTGTTGTGTTCTTTAACCTCGCTCCCCGCGGGAACGCTAATGAGCCTCATTTTTGCCTGTAGGCTCATATAGCCTCGCTGGAGGGCATCGCTGCAGAAGATCAAGTGGTGCTCCTGGCAGGCACACCCCTAGAGGATGAGGCTATTCTAGGCCAGTGTGGGGTGGAGGCTCTGACCACTCTGGAAGTAGCCGGCCGCATGCTTGGAGGTGAGTCGAGGACGACTGCCCTTTGAACTGCTTGTAAGCACATAATTGGGTGTGGAGATCAGTATCCTCAATTCAGGGTGGTTCTTCCTGTTTACCTCAGAATTAATTCTTGAGAGGTCCCTGGAAGACTGAATCAGAGTGTGGTTCTTTTTTAGTCACTTACTAGATCCTTGCCTGTTTCCTAGTTTCCTCACTAAAATTAGGAGGTTAGACCAGATCCCCAAAGTGCTCTTCAGTTCTTGTTTAAAGTCAAGGGGCTGGAAAATTTTTGGTCAGATGTCAAATCTCTGCCATTTTGTTCTCATTCCCTGTTGAGCCCAGTTGCCTGTGAAGGCTTGAGTTGAGGGAGAAAGAACTCTGCTAGGCGGGGCCTTCTTGCTCTCCTAACTGCTTGCTGTCTTCCTTTCCCACCACAGGTAAAGTCCATGGTTCCCTGGCCCGTGCTGGGAAAGTAAGAGGTCAGACTCCCAAGGTAAGTGAGAGTATTAGTGGTGTCCTTTGGACTGTTTTTTCCAGTCATAGATAAGCCAAGACCCTGGGCTCTTGACCTGTCTGTCTTCTTCCCTGGAGATGAGCCTGAGAGGAGATGTGGAAGAGGTCAGCCAGGGTCTGATCAGCCTTCCCTTTTCCCAGGTGGCCAAACAGGAGAAAAAGAAGAAGAAGACTGGCCGGGCCAAGCGGCGGATGCAGTACAACCGGCGTTTTGTCAATGTTGTGCCCACATTTGGCAAGAAGAAGGGCCCCAATGCCAACTCTTAATCCTCTGTAATCTGGCTTTCCCTAATAAAGCCACTTAGCCCAGTCATCTTGTTTCATTTTCATTTGCAGGGCCTCAGAGAGAGATACAGCTTTAGGGCTGGTGGTATGTCCACTAGAACAATTAGGTCTCATTTTGGTTTCTTGGCAGTGTCAAGTGAGGAGGAAGCAGAGGCCCT